ATATGCTTCAAGAATGGTGAGGGATGTGGCTGGGCCAGGAGCAGACCACGAGCTGAGGAGTGGAAAGGATGCCAAGATGCTGGCAGAGGCCGAATAATCAACAGACTGTGTGCCTGTTGTTAGGGGTGGAACTGTGTCCTCCCAAACACATGTTAAAGCCCTAACCCCACTGTGATTATATGTGGAGTTAGAGCATTCAAGGTCAGGTGATTCAGGCTAAATGAGGCCATGTGGGTGGGGCCCTGACCCGGAAGGACTGGTGTCTTTATGAGAAGAGGAAGAAACACCAGAGCATTCTATGCATGAATGAAGAACAGGCCATGTAAAAACACAGCGAAAAGGCAGCCGTCTGCAAGCCAAGACAGCCCTCACTAGGAACCAGCCCCGTGGGTACCTTGGTGCTAGACGTCCATTTGCCAGAACTGTGAGAAGATGCCTGTCTACTGCTGAAGCCCCCAGCTGTGCTATTTGATGATGGCAGCCGTAGAGTAATGCAAAGGAGCTTAGGCTTCACACAGGTTGTTGACAAACTGTTCGAGGCAATCCTGCCACTGGTTCCCTTCGCTCCTGCCATGGAATGTCTCCCTGTGTGGAACGCCGCCGGTTCCCGCCCCTTGTTCGATGATCCTGCACTCCTCACTCTGTCGTGCTTACTAATACTCAGAGCTGCAGTGAGCAGTCTCCCAGGCAGCCACGTGGCCAAAATGAGCACTGCCACGTGTGTTCTCAGACCCTCTTCACGGAGAAGCCACTGCTGAGAAGCCTCCCCGATGCCCTCCCCAACAGGGCATGCTCCCTGTGGGAAGGCCTAACGTGGCCATTCAGCCGGTGTCAGCACAGGAGAGGGTCCAAGTGATGGACGTGCCCTGTGCTGGAATCGAGAGTGTTCGCTTGGTCTCGGGGGTCTTCCTGTTTTCTCATCTTGAAGAGTTACTGCACACAGTGAGAGGGATAATGAGCTGGGCTGACCTCTTGGCCAAGTTAAGCAAGAAGGATAGAGAGTGAAAGCTCAATTCTTGTTTTCCATTCAAGGCCCACAACACGAGTCACCTCTTTTGCAAATGCTTTCTAGATCTCCTCAGACCCGGCCTCTCTACTGTGGCACTCCCACAAATTTGGTGTTTGTCTCTCTTTCCTAACTTGCTTTCTTTTTCTTTCTACCAAGTGCTTGTCTTTATTTAAAGAAACATAAATAAATTGATTTATGAACAAATAAAAAATTATTATTTTATTCATGGTAGAGAGTTCATGTCTACATGAGACAGAAAAAGAAAGAGAGCGAGCGAGAGAGAAATACTCTCAACAGGGTATCACACAGGTATGCATAAACTTGGGAATTTAGGAAAATGCTAAATAAGGGGTGGGGATGGTAGGGAAAAGAAGTGCCCTGAGTATTAGGAATTGGAAAAGGAGCAGGAGGCAGTTTAGCTGCTATATCCTCATTAACTGGTGGCTAATTCTTTTAAGTAGAGATTGCAAACTAGAAGCATGTTACCAGGTCTGGCCTCTGGGTATGCGTGATTTGCATATTTTTAAAATTAGTAATCTTCACATACAAATTCAGATGTATGGCCTTCCTCAAAAATCGAGAAGTCTGGGCTATACTGAGCCCTCCCTTCAATATGACAACAATTGGTTAGAGTTGAGTAGCATTGCCAGTTTGCTCCAGTCCTACCATTCCGTAATCTGTAACATCAGCTGCTTCATTCTTTTTTTTTTTTTGGAGAGGTTTTCGCTATAGGGCACGTGCACTCGCCGACAGACAGAGACATAGAGACAGAAAGCAAGAAATCACCCCCCAGAGGGGATGGTCACGCCGCAATCCCTTCTCCTCCATTCTCCTCTCGGGATCGTGGGCATGCACGCACACGCACCCGGCATGAGATTTAAGCCACCGGGTCTGAGACAAGAACCGCGGTCGACTACGTGGGAGTCCAGTGACATAGCCATTATGCTAACTGCTGGTTCCCAGCTGCTTCATTCTTGATTTGTTACTTGACACAGTCATCTGAAGTTATAAATCCTGAATTAAATTTTAATCTCGTTATTTAAAAACATACACACCAAGTTGATATAAGTACAACCATGAAGGGATGTTTGAGAATGCCATAGCATAGTCTTTTTTTTTCTTTTCAATTTGTTATATGACAGAGAGAGTGGAGAGAGAGAGAGAGAGAGAGAGAGAGAAAGTGAGAAATCACCCCCCTAGGGGATGGCTATGCTGCAATCCCTTTTCCTCCATTCTCCTCTCAGGATTTTGGGTACACAAGCACATGTGCCTGGTGTGTTTTTTCAAGTCACTGAGTCCAGGACTCAAACTGTACAGTTGGATCCAACGGCCTTAACTACCATGCTGCCAATTGACCCCATATAAGCTTCTCTTAATGTCTCTGCTCAAAGTCTCCTATATCAGAGGTCTTCTCTTACCACTCTCTAAAACAGCACACACCCCACTACTCTGTATGGGGCTCATTCTTCCTCATAGTCCTCTTCACCTCCTGACAAGTCACTGATTCATTTGCTTGTCTATTCTCTCTCCCATCTCTAGACAGTGAACCAGCCAAAACAGTGCTGGTGCAGAGGAGGGACTCAGTACTGATCTGCTGAATGGACCAACGAGCGTACATTTGACTCTGTGTAGTGACATGCTCAGGATCACTTTAAACCTACCTGCTGTGCTTGAGCCCAGAATACATCTTCCAAGTGGGTGGCGAACCCTTCACTCAGCCACTCCTCCGTCCAGTCACGGGCCCCAATGGCTAGGCCGAACCAGGCATGAGCGATTTCATGGCAGAGCCGGGTCCCGCAGAGATGGCTTGATCCTGTCAAGGTGCTCTGGGAGAGGAAGATGATGTGTGGGCTGTGGACGATAGGGGAGAAAACACAGGGTGTCTTGTTAGAGCCTGTGCCCGTGGCTGCCCCACGGGGTGGCCTCCTTAGCCTGGCGAGCCTGTTATTATCATGTGCATGCTAGTTCATGACCAATAGGCTTGCGGCTTGGATGCTTTTAGACGTAAATAAAGTGGCAGTTTATGTTTCTGGCACTGGTTCAGATTGCCGTTGCTGCCAAGCAGTTGTCTCCGTCATCAAACAGCTATTACCTGTAATAAGTAACCTACACCCAAGTTTTGTTTTTTATTTATTTATTTATTTTTTACATTGAAAAAAAATTACAAGGCCATGGAAGCACTTACTCTGAAATCTGGGCTGTAAAAGAAGAGCAGGTGTGAGAACGCGCAGCCCATGCTGCCAGGAGAGTGATCAAAGGCCCTTCGGCCAAACGTCCGAGCAGCCCACAGACAACTGGAGAAGTGGCACAGGAGGACAGGAAAAACCGAGAACACTGGACCCCCAAACTTTCCATTTCACACCAGGGCTCCTGTGGAGTTCAGAAACTAACGGGCGCTGTGTGGGGGGGCTTTTCCAAGAGACCCACATACAGGCCAGTTCTGAGGCTGAGGCCCTCAGTGCTCTCTGGGGGCACTTAGAGATTCATGTGACGATGGCAGTATGCTGAGAGGAGGAGGCAGGGAGTTCACCCACCCAGGTGTGCCAACGGCCCCAGGGCTGGCACCAGACAGGGAGATTCATCTAATCCCATTTTCTACATTTGTTTTAAAACCCAAAACACTGTGATTAAAACTGCATAGATGAAGTGGGACGAAAGTGGGCTGAAGAAAGAAGAGGCCAGTGGGTCCCTTCTGTGCTTCCACCTCCAGCATTTATCATTTACCCAGACCTTATTTACAGTCTTCCTGATGAAGGATTTGCTCTTAGGGAAAAAAAATTTTTTTTTCCTCCATCAATTGAACAAAAGCAGTTGTGAAATCTTCCAAATTAAGAAACCGTACACACCGGTTCCTTCTCTCAAAAGTCATTTGTTTGCCATCTTGTTGGCGCTGCACAAGCCGAGACTGCTTGCAGATTTTTCTTCCGCCCCCACGGCTACCATTAGAGAAAACTCCACCTATATTTCCCTTGCACAACATCGCCTATTCAGCTCAGAGAGCTCAACTGCAATCGTGGAGTCAGGCCTGCCAAGATAGACAGCTTTCATGTGAAATAATAACAGGGCAGGCACGCAAATGAAAAAGCATCTGCCAGGCTCTCCTCAGGGTCCACCAGAAACCCCTGAAATTCAAAGGAGAGTTGGGGCATTGAAGACAAAGGGGTGAGTGGCAACAGGTACCAACAGTAGTTAGGAGCATTCACACAGGAAAAAAAATAAGACCCCCCCAAAACACACACACACACAAACAACATGGAAGAAGGGAAGCAAAGAAGGGAAACAAGGAAGGAGGAAATTAAGAGGCACAGGAGCTACCTTCCCTTCCTGAGAAAGTCACCCCACTGAGGAGACAAACTGTGCAACCTGGCATTTTCAAGTCAATGACCCCTGGCTCTGGCATGTGCAGTGCTACAAAGAAAAGCCACAGAAATGTACTGAGTAAATAACATTCCAGACATACTGCTGGCAGCAGTTCACTCTTTTGGCTAAAACAAAACAGAAGTAACTTCAGGCCTTATAAACAGGCTCAAAGACAAGCCTGCATGGGGAGGGTCTGCCAGCCAGGGCGAGACAGATGTGTGCAGGTCGCTTCGGAAACTGGAGGGCCGAGCTTCTGCTCCAGCCAGGAAGCCTCTACGGGCTGATGACTGTGACATCGCAGTGAGACAGATGATGAAGAAAAGGCCTCTGCTGTCCAGGGTGACCTGCCCGATGCTTTGTCCCCTAGGGGAAGCCTAGCCAAGGCTCATTTATGCAAATGTGAAAGCCTAGGAAGGCCTGGGGAAATGCACAATTGCAGCTGTGTGGGGGGTGGCATTTCACTTTCCTGCCCTTTCCATTTTCTTCCCCTTGAAGGGGCCTCCTTGTCTGCAGCACACTTCCTTCCTCAGCCTTCAGTACTCTGGAGACACCAGCCTAGCCTTGGAGCACCCTGGCTGGGCTCAGGACAGATCCTGGCATGGCTGGAATTCAACCTAAATGCCTGCTTTCCACCATCAATCCTTTCTACTGAGTCTGCAATAAATGTATGCCTAACTGTCACTGGAGGGGGACTGAAGCTTAAACCTCCTCCCCAGTTGGAAAGATGGGTCTGTAAGTTGATAGAAGTGACCCTATTATTGGTGGGAAACACGACTTTCTCCCTGAGAAGGCTGGATTCTGGTTGCGCGCCTGACCGTAAATCTCCAGCAGTCCATTCTGCCCTTCGAAAGTTGGGTTTTACATATTAGGCACTAGGGCTATTTCCCCAGGAAGGAAATGGCTTCGTTCTTAAAATTAAATCAAAACCATGGAATGAGGTCTTGATAACCTGTCTCAAGGGCTGTTAATAAAATTCTGACATAAAAGGATCAATAGAAAATTCTTGCGAGGAGAATTTCCTTCTCTCCTTTTGACCCTAAATGTCAGAATTTCTCATGTTAAGTAGACTTTTTAAACCTCTTATCTTTGTTAAACTGATTCTCTTCAGCAGTGAGCAAAGAAAAATAAAATAATGTTCTTAAGCTTACTTCAAGGAGTAATATAAAATATCCCTTCACCAACAGACAAGCTACTTCATGTCCACCTTCAACACAGAACAAAGTTTTAGAATTTTCTACTCCCACCTTCTCGATTTATAAGGCTCACCCGGGGGTCCTCACACAATTCCTCTACTCCCAGATCTTATTCACGGCCAGGATCAGCCAGCTGGTGATCGGTCTTCACTCTGACAAGGCCTATTGGAAAATAGGGTTTGGGTTTTGTTTTTGTTTTTGTTTTCCTCCTCAAAGGGTCTGTGTCAACTGCCTCTACAAATGTCAGATTGTCAATTCATCATTGTTAGAGAAGATGGAAGATAATCACTTCAATGACATCTTCATCTTAAAAACTTTATTTTTTTTTTGTTATCATAGAGTTTATCATTTTCCCCAAATAACAGATGGGCAGGAAAGTGTTATTTTCAGTCTCAGAAAGCACATCCTCTCTTGCTTGCAAGTAGTGGAGGAGAAAGGTGGGCAGGCAGGGTGTGGGGAGGAGCCACACGGGGCACCTGTCATTCATTCCCAGGAGACCACCAGGGGAGCTGCCTCCTGACAGAGGTCAAGCACATTGCCTGTCTGCCGCCTTGCCCCTTGAGATCGAAAATATCATGTCTGGTCTGAAAACAGTTTCTCAAGACTGTTCCTTAACGTGCCCTCCCCACCCAGATTATGATGTCGTGTCCGTTAATTTAAAACATGCTTCTAGCAGAGGAGGAAGGAGTGCCTTCATTACTCCCAGGAGCTGCTCAGATCCTTCGGGAGGAATTCAATTTGGAGCGGAAATGGAGAATTTCATCAGATCTTAAGTAGGAGCTGGTGTTTGATTTATTTCTGCTTTTTCCAGGGAGACCAGACCAGCACGGCCCATCTTGCTGCTCAGGGAGCGATGGATGCAGCACTCAGTAGTCCAACTAGACACTGACGCCCCTGCAGGTCAGCACTGCTGCTGGGAGGAGCCCAGAGGACAGGAAACTGCTTTTGGTTCAGGGCAAAAAGAGCCCCACATGGCCCCTCCCATTACACTGGAGCAGATCCCAATTCCCCTCCCAGGGAGCAATTTCACTTTTCATGCAGATCCTTGGGACGCGTCCTATAGGCTTACATTTATCAAGCTTGAGCTTCTTGTGGGTTCGGCACTTTTCACAATTTCAATATGTGGAGCCTATTTCCACTATAAAGAGGAAGGAAGAACCAAGAAAGAGGGAAATCAGGCTCTTGCTCTTCCAAAGTCAGAGGATAGTTCTAAGGGTCTTAGAATTACTGGAAAGTAGCTTTTGCTTGTGTGACTTTATTACTTCCTAATTTAACTCAGACAACTGATACGAAGATTTGTAGGCGCCTGGGGCAATCTGAAAGGGAGGACAAATCCTCACTCCCCCTCCCTCAGGTTCGGAACATTTCTCTTCCCTGCCTAAGGTGTGAAGTGATACATGCCAGCACTTCCCCCGATGCATGACGCATCATCCCTCTTTCCTGGCTGCTGGCTACTGTCAGGGAGGCATCCCTTGTCTCGAAGATAAAGAGATGGCCCAGATGACCTGGCAAGACCCTCTCTCCTTCCCTCTGGCTCTGAGACTGCTCAGAGGTAACAGTCATTTTCCACTTTCCTCTTCTGGTGTCCCACTGTAATTACACAGCATAATCTATAAACCAGATGCTCAGAAGACGAGGAATATTCTTTTGGAGAGAGAGGTGGACATGAGTTCTGAAAACTTGCTACATCTGATCAATGTTCAAGAGGACCTAGGTTAGAGCAATAACGTTGATGTTAGGCTGTTAGTAAAAGTTTTACAAGTTCTGAAGCATACATAGACAGTAAAGGATCTCCTCATTTATCTTAATGAATTTTTGCTCATACAACTAACATGATCATAACAGAGAATGACTGAGGTGACCCACTGCTACGTTCTTTACCTGTGCCAAAATCATCCTAATGTGATTTCTTATTTTTTTTTTTTGAGAGGTTTTTGCTATAGGGCATGTGCACTTGCCAGACAGAGAGAGACAGAGAGACAGAAAGCGAGAAATCACCCCCCAGGGGGGATGGCCATGCCGCAATCCCTTCTCCTCCATTCTCCTCTCGGGATCTTGGGTACACACGCACATGCGCCTGGCGTGAGTATTAAGCCACCGGGTCCAGGACACGAACCGCGGTCTACTACATGGGAGTCCAGCGACATAGCCATTACGCTAACTGCTGGTCCCCTAATGTGATTTCTTTTTCTTTTCTTTTTCTTTTAATTGCCAAAGGACACATGTACTCAGAAGTGTGTGTGTGTGTGTGTGTGTGTGTGTGTGTGTGTGAGAGAGAGAGAGAGAAACATGCCAGTA